CGGGGACCTCACCCCGACTTCCACGATGACTTCGATCGGCCCGACGACTTCCGGGATGATTTCCACCCAGACAAGAGATTTGGCCATCGGTTACGGGAGTTCGAGGGGAGAGGAGGCCCACCATTGCAAGATGAGAAATGGAGACGAGGGGGACCTGGGCCTCCCTTTCCTCCTGATCACAGGGAATTTGAAGGAGGTGGTTCCAACCGGGGGCCTCCTGGTGCTTGGGAAGGACGGAGACCTTCAGATGACAGATATCCACGGGATCCCGAGGATGCGCGCTTCCGAGGAAGGCGAGACGAGAGGTAAGAATAAATCCATTTCTCTTTCTTGGGTTAAAGGGTAAATGGAGGGAACTCTCTTATTCCTGGTTTCCTTTTCATTAAGGAGTCTATCTGTTTCAGATTTATAAACTGGAAACCAATAAGGAAATGAAAACTCTAATATACCTGAGTGTAGAGTCCATAAAAATCATTCAGTAATAGAAGAAAACTTGAAAAATGGTCATTGTACACAGCAGCTTCCGTGTCTTTAAACAGTAAGTAAAGAGAAGGGGGAAAGTTTTAGAGAAGATCCAGTGACACAGGATGAAGATCTGAGGCCGTTTTGATGAAAATTGAGAGGAGACTTAAAGGTTAAAGTGACAAACTTTTGAACACTAGAAGTGGATTTTGAGATTCTGTCTCCAGTCACAAACTACAGCATGACTGTAGAGACTGTAGGATGAGATGCAATGCCCTTGTGAGGAGCAGGAACAGTGATGTGACTGCCAGCTAGAAGGGACAGACTTACAGCATCTGTTGGACTGTCAAGACTATTTTTTCATACGTTTGCTTGTAGAAATTTTATTTCTCTTTCTGACTTATTTCTTAATGCCAAACAAAGAACTCAAAAATAATCTGATTTACTGCAATGTCCTTGTCATTGCTCACAATCTCCGAATAAATCACCAAGGGATAAATTTGCTTTTAGTTACCAATGTAAATATGGAGGAATTAATGCTGTCTCTGAAATTAATTACCAGCAAAATTGCTCCAGATTTATGTTAGTTTAATTAAATGAAATTTGGCCTCCAAGGTCTAAGCCTCTCACTGACCACCAACTCTCTATGTATAAGAACATGTGCTTGTTACAAATATGCTGTGGTCTCCACATAATGTGAATTTTGTGTGTTTTAGTTGCCTTTTTAATCATTTTCTTACATTCCTTTTACTTTGCATCTATACAGCTCTTCTTTTAGCTATTTTCTACCTAGCTCTGTAAGATGTAACTTCCTTTTGTGTGAAGAGTATGAAAAGAAATGAACAGTAACTTAAAGAAGGTAACAATTAAAGCCATTTCTAAAAAGTAAAGCCAGACAAAATCCAGTTGGATGGTCCAGTGGTCCAATGGTCTGCATCACAGAACTCTAAAAGACACAGCAGACAAGAATTTTAGAAGCTCAGTAGAGATTTTTCAGATCTTATATTGAAAATGTTTAGGAACTGGCAAATATTTTATTATGGTCCTGATTTTTAAAACGTTTCAGGAAGGGAAACAAGAACCTTGTAACCTGCAAACCTGACTTTTGAACTAAGAGTATTCTGTTCATCAGAGTACAAGTGTTTGCCCAGAGAGTTTGAAGTGAAATGGCACAAGGCTTTAAAAGGCTCACTGTGCTTGTAAATTTGATGATTTTCTTGGAATGAAGGTGAACTAGGTGCCATTTACTGCAGATGCTGTGGTGGACTTAATCCCAACCACTCCTTTAGCTGACTTGGTTTGAAATTGAGATTGTAACTGGTTTGATCAAGCATGAGAGGCAAATGTGTGTATGTGTGTTTCTCTCTAATTTCCCATCCTTTTCATCCCTGTCCTGTTCTTACTCTATATCAACATGATGCTTCTACTGCAGAGACCTGCCTCTTCCTGCCTGCTAATCTGCACAGTGTGTAGTTGTGTACAGTAAGGTCCTAGGCCTCGGGGAAGAAGATGTGAGAGCAGTCAAACAGGAACTGAACCCGAAGCAAGGCAGGGCTTTATGTGTGACTGATATGAAAAGGCAAATAAGGATATCCATAACACAATATTAGGAGCTGTGGCTGTGTCAGGCGTAGGTATCGTAGATTTCAAAACTCAACTGTGTCCATAAGTTGCCTGAAATAGGAAGGGCCCTGTTCCTGCAGCCCTGGGGCCTCGTGTTGAAGATCTTGGTAATTTCCAAGCTAAGGTGAATCACACCGTATCAGTATTAAAGCAGGAGGCCCTCTAAGAAACCTCTAGAGGACTGTGCTCTTTCAAGGCTAAACAATATTGCTCTGTGATTATTTGAACCATTTGTACCTGAAACTGTTGAGGTTGTTTTCCCAAACCATCCAGGTTAATGTAAATGGTTCATGGTCCATACAAAGCACTCCTCCATCCACTGTTGTACCTGTACAGGCACAGCAGCCTCCTCTCTGTATTGTGTTTGTTTTCTGGGAGGTGGAGACAGACCTATTGTTTTTTATTAAAAACAATGTAAAAGTTTAAAAATATTGTATTGTGTTATGACTACTGTTAAAATATTTAAATTTGTAATTAAAAGGTTAATGTTGTTAAAATTCTAAATAAAAGTATCTAAAGTTTTGCTTGTAATAGGATGCACTGTGTCGTTAATGAGCTGGGGAAGGGGATGCTGCACACAGCCAACGCCACGGGAATACTGCGGTGCTTCCAGTGCAGCCAGTGTGCAGCTGGGAACACTGGGGAGGTGGGGGGCATCTGTGACTGGGCAAGGAGAGCTCCACACCGTGTGCTGTCACTGAGGGTGGGCAGAGTAGTGTGGGGTGGCACGGTGGGGACACCAGTGTGCCTGCACCACCTGAGCACCTCAGCCGGGCTGTGACAGACAGGCGTCCTCACAGGGCAGGGCTGAGCTTTGCAAACCCTCCAGGTGTTTGGTGCTTGTGTCAGGACCAGAACTGCTAGTTATTCACACAGCCAGCTGCAGGCTTACCTGGCATGGCACTGACAGCTCAGGAAGAGCCATTCTCCTCTCTGAAGAGCTGTCCAAGGCCCCCAGTGTGGTGCTGGAGGAGCTGTACTCAGCTAAGATGCTGTGCAGAACCCAATCGTAGCATATTCCTGCAGATGCCCTTGGTACTTACTAGGCAGCAGTTACCAACTTCAGGCTCATAATTACATTTTGCAACACAAAATTCATTACTGCAGTTGGATGAACTGCTCTTCAGGTTGCAGAATGCCACTGTGCACTGTTCAGCCAGCACTGTGCCTACAGATCCAAGAGCAGTCTAGATGCATTTGCTAAAACTGTAAACTTTGAAGAATGGAATGAAAAGGAGCATTGTCTGGCAAAAGAATCATAGAACTAATAGGAATGAGATCCTGTAACGTTTTGTTACAGCCACGACTCTCATTGCTTCTATGTTTTCAGTTTGTTTTATGATGGAAATGGAAAGGACAAAAGGGAAGGGGAATGTAAGAGCATCAGAGTTAAGGGGAACTCACACTTTGCCTTGCCTTACCTCACCTTGTATCTATCGTCACTCATTGACTGTTTTTCCCACCTTTTCATTAAATGAATGCAATGTGTTTAATAATACTTTTCTTGTATGAAAAGCCAACGTAATCAGTGGAAGGAAATATGAGAGGAAGATTACAAAGCTTACTGTCAAAGTGCTCAAAGGCAGAAACGGGCACTTTCCCACCTACAAATCCTGTTCTAGTAACTGTATGTGCTGTAGCATTAAGTGAAACCGTTTAGAAATGAGTTGATAATTAAACTGAAGCTGCCTCAATTATGCCTAAAAACCGCATTTGTATCGTGTTCTTTGTTGTAGCTTCCGAAGAGGAGGACCCTCGAGACATGAGGGCCGGGGGCCCAGGGGCAGAGATGGTTTTCCTGGCCCTGAAGATTTTGGGCCAGATGATGCTTTTGACTCTCCAGATGAAAACTCCAGAGGAAGGGACCATGGTGCTCGGGGGCGAGGTCGAGGTGCTCTGAGAGGTAAGGGGAATGTTCTTCCACACAGAAATGCAAGGATGAGGAGGGAAAGGCACTTCTTGAGCAGGTGACATTATTTTCATGAATACAATGTCTCTTCTCACTCCTGTCCCCTGCTTCTCTTACTGCTCAGGAGCTCGGAAGGGTTTGCTTCCTACTCCAGATGAGTTCCCACGCTTTGAAGGAGGGAGGAAAGCAGAATCCTGGGATGGAAACAGAGAACCAGGTAAAAAATTGGGTGAGGTTTGTAGACTTCTACAATATAATAACTTCAAAAAAATATTTTTAAAATCCTGCCTTTTTCCTGCACCTCACATGTTTGTTACCAGTATTTTACCATGAGAAAAGCCAAATGCAGTTCTTTGGTCTTTTAAATTTAGGAAAAAAGAACTATACAGAATTTAACTGTCTCTACATACAGCTGTCTTATTGAATAAAAGTGATTGTGGCCTCAAAGCCTTGATTTTCAGTTGTGCTCCTGTACAGTCCAGAACTGCCTGGGCACTTGTCACCTCTGGATGACTGAATCATATCATGGGTTTTTTTAATATCTTTATTAATACCAACAGTAATCTTTCTCTGTCTTGGTGTCTTTTCAGCTGCAATGTCTGACAGCTTGTATGTGCAGTTGTGTTACTAAAGGCAACCCTATATGGGACAAGACAGAGCTGTAGAATGTCATGGAAAACAAAGCACAAATGGCACATGAATAAATGAAGGTGTGATTGTCTCTAAAATATATGGAAGTATTTTATACTGGAAAGAACACTTTACATCTGCCACACTTTTCTTTCCTATCATCTTTAGAATCTGTTTTACCTTTAGCTTTTTTTACTAAAAAATGGGACAGAGGAGAAACTTTACATAATTTGAACTTCAAACTGTGTGCCAAACAGTGTGGGCAGTTTGTAAATTTATGTGGCTGCCTTCAAAAATGAAGAATAATGATCCAATGAACATTACTTCTCCTGTGTTTTCGTGCACAGGTCCTCGTCCAGATCACCCTCCTCATGATGGGCACTCTCCAGCCAACAGAGAACGTTCCTCTTCACTCCAGGGCATGGACATGGCCTCACTGCCACCACGGAAACGTCCCTGGCACGATGGACCGGGAACCTCTGACCACAGGGACATGGATGCTCCAGGTGGACCTCCAGAGGAGAGGGGCAAAGGTAAAAAGCCCCTTTGATTAGAACCCTTAAGTAACACTGGCATGTATTTTCAGTATTGAGTGTATCCAGAACTTCTCTGTTCAGAGGGGATAAAGCTGAGCTGGTAAATACCTGATTTTACCAGCTGGGAAGTTAGAGACCAGTCTTACAGGAACATAAGAACAGAGGGATTTTCAAACATCAAATCCAGATCTTGTCTCCAGCATCACAGAACCCCCTTCTTTATTGCCCTGTTCAAAAGTAATTGGTTTTTGGTTCCCTGTTACTCAGCTGGAAAACTCATTAAGAGCATTTTTCCCTCATTTTCAGAATAGTTGTTTATTAATATTAATGCTTGTGATGTTATTCTTTAACTCAAATATAAGAACATTGAGCCTGGAGTGATATGTCCCTGAAGTGCTCTCTAGACCTCTGAAGATCTGACTTACTAAAACATTGTTTTTACATTTAATGGCTTTCTAGTTACCTTTTGTGTACTTCTCTAACTGCTTTGTCATATAAACTTTTGATATGACAACATCCATGGACAGACCTCTAAAACTTAATAGAAGTAGACTATGTTTAAAAAAAAAGAGGGAAAATGTTTTTCCCTTGATCTGTGCTTATCATTCACTAATTTAATTTGATGTCTTGTGTTGTAATTAAGTTGAATGTTGGTTCCTGTTATTACTGAATGCCACCTCTGATTGCACTGAACTCCACCACTTCCAGCCTGAACCAGCTCTTCTCCAAGTCAGAGCTCTGATTTCTTTATTCTTTCTAGAAATTGTTGTCTCTTTCACTATCCTTGTTACTCTGTATGTGATATTTTGAGTTTTAAATTATCCTTTTCTAAATTAAATTAGGTAACTAGGAATTGCACACACTATTTAAGATGTGGTGTAACCATGGATTTCTACAGTTCTCTTGTGTTTGTTCCACTTTCTCCATTCCTTCCTAACAGTTCCTGGTGTTGTAGTTCCCTCTAAGTGGCCCCATGCTACTGTAACCCACAGAACATATTCTTTTGGAGTCAGTGCTATTAGCATCACAGCAGTTCTTGATCCTATTTGTTACACATCTCAGGACTTCTGTTCTCTTGTGTAAATACTGTCTTTCTTTAATGTCCTCATATTGACTACCCACTGTCAGGTAGTGATCAGTGACAAACGTCCTTCTCATTTGCTTCCAGATGCTGAGCTGGCAGCCTGCAGCTCAATTTGGTGCTGTTAGACTGCACAGCTTTGTCTCTGATGCCACTGAACACTGAATCCCAGCCCACTTCTCCCACCACTGTCCCCAAGCTCATTCAGTTTTAACTGCTTATCACTCCTCCTCTGCATGGACTCTGTTCCCAGGTTTTATCATTCCTTCACAGATGTTTTGAATGAAACTCTGCTGATAAACTTCTCTACCAGTATTTTTCCTTCCATATCTACATGCTGTAGTTCTCAGTTTAGCCAGCATCTATCAAGGATTCCTTTTCCAGCTTCAGTAATGATTGTGATAACTCTATCAGATTCTTTGTTAAACTCAAAACAATTGTTGTCCAGGCACAAGTGTGGTAATTAACTCATAATTTAGAATGATGGCAGAAAGCCTGATAAACCATGAACAATACTTCTTCATATGTGGGCTATATCACTTTCAGTTGTATTGGTAAAGTTCTTTGAAGATTAAAACTTCATTAATGTTTCTGTGAAACAGTTTGGTGACTGTTTTACATAGAATCATCCACAGTCAACAAAAATCACTCTTGCTGAAGTGCAGCAAAAATACCTGAATTTAGCTGTAGTAGGTGTCCTTAAAACAAATTTATCACTGATTTTGTTTTCTCAAAATACTACTACTTATTTTAGGCTAATTAATTGGGTTGGGGTTTTTTGTTGTTCATATCAAACATATCAAAACCAAAAAGGTATGTGAGAATTAGAAAATTCTATTCTGTGAGAATTAGAAAATTCTGTTCCTGGCAGTAAGAGCTTGAGTACTTTTTGTTCCAGGTTAGTAGTAAAATAAAGCATTTTTCCATTCTTTTTAGCAAAAAATTGGAACAAAACAGTAATGTTACTCATGATCTTCACCATCAGCCTCAACTGTCTCAATTGTCAACACTGCTATGTCTCTGTTTAGGATTTATAAAAAGTGTTTTGCAATAAAAACAGAACCCCAGTGCTGAAGCACAGGAACTGGCAGTTTGAAGGAAAAGCTATCACTATTCTGACTTCATTTCAGTGCCTGCTGACAGTATCAAATGTTAGCTTTAATTCCCAATGAATTGCTTGATTGTTGTCTGTTTTCTTAGCTGTAATGGAGACACTTACTCTGTATAACAAAATTGTACTGAGGGAGGAGGCATAAAATTGCAGGTTTCAGCTACAGCTGGTTTATGAATGATGACACCAAAGTAGAAGCAGCTCAGTATCTGTCTGAGACTCAGCTCAAACTTACACCAGTAACTGGTTGTGCTTCCTTTGCAGGACGAGGAAATTCGGGACCTTCACAGAGAGCGCCAAAATCTGGGAGGTCCAGTTCTCTAGATGGAGACCACCACGATGGATTCCACAGGGAGGAAGCTTTTGGTGGAGGCCCTGGGGCAGGCAATAACCCTTCTCGAGGAGGAAGGAGCAGCAGCAATTGGGGAAGAGGAAATAACATGAACTCTGGCCAGTCCCGGAGAGGAGGATCTCGGGGTGGACGAGGCCGATAGAAGAGGCTTTGACTGGGTCATGCCCAGTCCTTTTGGGACAATATTTAAATAGACTGCTACTCTGGACTCACCTGCAATGCCACGAACCTGGATTCTTAACTGGGATAACTGAATGTGCATTAGTTCCTAACAAGGGTCTTTCTTTTCCTGAATCAGTCCTTTGCCTCTGGCTGCAATATTGTAGCTACCTTTGTTTTGTTCTTTCCACTCCCATTCCCCTCACTTTCTTGTTTTGTCAAGAGCTGGAATTTCTTTGAAGTGTTGTGGAACATGGGGCATCTCCACAGATTTCAGTTCACCTCCAGACAGAACCTTGTTTCTATATGTACAGTTTGTCAAAGAGTTACGTTGGTTTTGTATGAATACAGAATGTAATTTGCGCAAAAATTAACAAAAAAAAATCAATAGTGTGTGATTCTTTACTCACCTATTCCTACAGAGGGTTGTATTTAGGCAAACTTGTGTTTCAGATGGAGCAACAGTACTACCTCCTGAAATCTCAGCCATTTAAAATACTGAGAGCCGATTCCTGGGGTTTTGGTTTATCATGTACAGAGAAGTTTCATTTTCACCTTTAGCCACAGCTGTCTACAGATTACAATGGTGCTGAGGTCAAAATTCCAAAATGCAGGCAATCACCACTGCTTGCTAGTCTGCCATCCTGAAACAGAAAAGAGTGGAATAGTGTTTAGAACAAGTTGTCAAAGACATAGTGTGAGTTACATAACGTGGATCCTAACACAGACATCACAGCAGACTGGCATTCTACCCTTCACCTAGGCAAGCCACGGATTTTTGTTCAGAACAGGATCTGCTTGTAGAAATTGAGAAAGTTTAGCAGCTTGATTGGTATGTTTTTCAGCAGCTGTGTGACACATTGTTCAAAGCTATGGGTGTAGCAGAGTCTGGTGCATTAATTGCTGAGGTGCAATTCATCACTTCCAGAATAAGTTTTTTTTAAGTGTCTTTTTCTTTAGGATATTGTTACCTGGTTTTACTAAAGGAGGGAAATGAGGAGGAGGGGTTATTCCCATTTCCCACATTTCATAATAAAGCTGCTTACCAACCATGAGCTTGTTTTCCCCATAAATCATTCCTATTAATTATCTCCAGTCACCATGTTATCAGAAGGCTCCTTTAACACCTAAAGCCTCAGTGAAAATGTTATCACGTAAGTACTTAATCTACAGGTACCCCTCAGGAAGGTCCTGTATTGAAAGTAGAGCATAAAATAAGAAATCACTACCAGGCTTCCCTCTCTCCTGCCTCGAATTTCAGGCTATAATCAGGATGAGACTCAGTTCTAGAGGCTCCTGCATCCCAGTAACACACAGAGCTGTTGCATCTTCTCACAGGCAGGTTTACCAAAGACTGGCTCAAGTCCTGATGTCCCATCTTCCTTAAAGACATCAAAGCACAGATGCTCAGCTGTTGTTCTCTTGGTTCAGTCAGTCACTTTTTACTTGGTTTTTAATTTGTGGTGTATCAAATCACATTTGAAAATTGTAACTGATCATTAGCCTATAAAATCCTTGTCATGGGGGTCAGGAGAGACAGAATGGTCTAAAAGGAATTAACTAGAAACAGCTGAGATGCATCTGATATGACACAGTTTGCCCGTTGAGAAAAATGCTTTTTAGCTCTATCTGAAGGACTTTGGGTGTATGTCTGGGAGTTGGGATTTGTCCTGAAGTTTTCATGAGAAATACTAACGAGTTCATCATTGGCAAAGAGTTTTGCTTGCCCTCTTGTTTTTTTTTTGTTTTTTTTTTTTTTATTTAGCAAGCCCAATATATGTTTAAGGGGCTAAAAGAGGTCTAAGACTATTTAGAGGATGAGCTGTAAGCTTTAATTAAACCACAGTCCTCTACCAAAACAAGTGTATCTAACAAGAGAAAATGCAGTTTTATCTAGACAACTTATATTTCCTCTGATGATTGGTTAATTCCTTAAACAATTATGGTACTTAAATAATACTCTTCAAGGGGCAGCTTTTTAAATGGAGTTTTGAAGTATTTCACAATCATATGCTCAAAAAGTCCTAAGAAAATTTGATATAGTTTCTACAAAATCTTGGAAGGTAACAGCATAGGAGGAGACGCAAGTAGCTTCCCAGTCTGTGATACCAAGACCCACTATTACTGGGAAATTGGAACAGTTATTTAATGGGAATACTTCTGTATTCCTCAGGTCGTGTTATTTTACCAGTGCTGCACACAGACTCTTACGCTCTACCTGTTAGTTCAGTAGTTAATTTGACACTGCTGTTAGGAATAAAATTAATTTTATATACTGTAACTTAGAAATTGTAAAAACAAGAGAGCTAATTTAATGCTATTCTCATAGTTCTGATCTACATTCTTAATGGAAAAAAGTGACCATTAGTGAAATGTCTATACTGACAACTGGACACAAATAGTTTTATTAAAGCAATCTATGTACACTTAAGCACGCCCTTTAACAATTTCAGTTTAATTCAGAAAAGTATTTGGTAAATCTGTTAAAACTAAATAGTGATAGCAGGTAAGTATTGCAGTGGCTTTCTTTTCTCCATGAGGCACAAATGCTCAGTGAGAACTCACTGGGGGCTCTGTGCAGGTGAGGCCCCGTTGTCCCATTTCCTTGCACGGTCCAGTACCCAGCCCAAACTGGAGCACCCAGCTCTGTCAGCCTGAATTCAGCACCCTCCTGAGGCAGCTCAGTTTCTGCACTGAAGCAGAGCTCCAGTTACTGGCAAATTATTTTTGAAGGTCACGCTGGGACAAGTAAGCAACTCCTGCCCAAGTTCAGAGAGCAGTACCTATACACAAAAGTAAAGTTGTAAGGGTTGAAGCTCCCGTTTTAAAGCCCAGTTTGGTCCCTTACAGCAGTACCTGCAAACGCCAGTGCTCTTAACCAACATCAGCACTTTGCATCCTCTCATCATCATGCAGGAACACCCCCTCCCCTTACGATTATGGGCAGTGCTTGTGACCCACAGCCCCAGGAAAGTTTGTTTCACTTACTGGATGGTTATTTTAAAGCTGCTTTATAGAGAGAAATGCAGTTCAGTGGCCAGAGTCTTCGTATTCACCACTGGTCTGAGGTGACAGCAAAAACAGTATGTGTTCATAGTGTAGGGGTCAGCACAAAATGAGGTAACACCAGTTAATTTTTCAATGTTCTCCCCTAGCCTCGATCGCATTTTGCTAAATCATCTTCGTGTTTCGGCATCCGTCAGCCTTGCGCACCTCAGCTGCTCCTCAGTACCGGGCCAGTCCACAATGACGCCGCACGGATCCGCGGTCCGCAGCAGCCGCTGCAGCAGCCACACGGTCCCGGCTGGAGGCACGAGCGGGATGCTGCCAGCTCCCCACCCAGAGGTGGAGCGATGCCAAGCCGTGCCTAGGGAGCTGACAGCGCGGTAAGGCAGATAACGAGCTCGGGGGCGGCTCGGCAGGCTGACACCGCACACAGCACCCGCAGCTCCGAGTCACCGGGGCCGCTCCGGGCTGACAGCCCCGCCGCTGCTGCTCGAGCGCTGGCGAGGAAAACGTGCCGGGACGCGGAGGAGGCGAAGAGAAGCGGCGTCCCCGCTGGTCTGGGAGTCGGCTGGCGACAGCGCGAGGCTCTCGGTCCGTGCGCGAGGGACTCCCGCGGGGACGCGGCCGCTGCTCCCCGGCGCGCCGGGCTCACAGAGGCAGTGCCTTGCCCCGGCCGCACACCGCGGCGCGGAGCAGCCCGGCGAGGCGGCGCAGGCCGGCGGCACCGCCGGGCAGCGCGGCCAGGAGCGCGGCGGCGGCGATGCCGAGCTGCGCGGCGGCGCCCAGCGCCGTCAGCGCGGTGCTGCGCAGCGCCAGCGCGGCGTACAGCGTCCCGAAGAGCGCCCCGAGGTACAGCAGCGCCCCGCGGCCGGGCTCCCGCAGCAGCCGGGCGGGCCCGCGCAGCAGCGCGGCGGCGCCCAGCGCACACAGCGAGCCGAGCGACCAGAGCAGCGCGAACTTGCGGGCGCGCAGCAGCAGCAGCGGCACGCACAGCCCCGCCAGCCCGAAGCACAGCGCGGCCAGAAGCACGCACAGCCCGCTGCCCGCCAGCCGCTGCCAGCGCGACAGCCCCGGCAGCCACGGGTCCTCCTCTCCCGTCCAAGGCCACACCGTGGCGCCCGGGGGACTGCCCGGCGGGAACGGGTTCAGCGCCCCCAGCCAGGCCCGCAGCCCGCCGCCGTCCCCCGCCTCCTCCTCCGAGCCGCCGGCCGCCGGCGGTGCGGGGACCGCGCTGGGACCGGTGGCGGCAGCAGCCTTGGACTGCGCGAGGTACTCGTGCAGCTGCCGGCCCAGGTCCGCCATGGCGGGGATGGCACCGGGCGCTACAACGCTCCCTCCGCCCACCCCGGCGCCGCCATTTTCCCGGGCAGGGGCCACATCCGGGGCACGGCAGAACACGCGGCCGCAGGCCGGGGAGAGCAGTGCGCATGCGCCGGGGACCGTGAGGCGTAGGGCGCGTGCGCGGAGGTCGTGAGGGCTATGGGGGCTGTGAGAGCTGAGAGGGCGATGGGGGCAAGGGGATCTGTGAGGGCTGTGAGGGCTCTGGAGACTGCGAGGGCTCTGCGCTGTAAGGGCTATGTGAGCTGTCTAGAGCTGCGGGGTCCCTGAGGGCTGTGTGGGCTGTGAAGGGCTACAAGCCTGGGATTAACCTGTCGGTGATTGACAGGTGGGATCAGCCCAGGAGATTGATTGACAGGCGGTACTAAGAATAGTTGAGATGGGGAGCCGTCCACGCAGAGTGATTGATGGGCAGGGCCAAGGGTGAAGAGGGGCAGGCTCAGCCTCCCGGGGTGATCACAGGCCGGGCCATGGGAATGCCCCTCAGCTGCCGGAGACACCGGGGCACCGGAGCAGTCCTCTGTAGCCAGGCCTGCGGGCCTGAAACTGGGATTCCGCCTCCCAAAACGGAACATCCGAGGATTACTCCCAGACAAAAGCTGCCACACTGACAGGACTCACTGGCCTTTGCTTCCTGGGGATGGCCTCTCAGCTGCCCCACAGACACTGGGGTGCCAGGCTTTCCTTCCTGTGGAAAAGGGCCGTCCTTCACAGCCAGGCACCAGATGGGTCTGCCTGGACCTTTCCTCCCCTGGGCCACCTCTGACCTGCACCTAAAGTACTGGGCCTATGTGCTTTCCTTCCTGTGGAAATTAATTCCCATCCAGGAGCCTGTGCTGGAAATTTGATTTGCACCTCCAACAGGTGCAATGTGCTGGAGTGCTTCTGTGCAGATACACTGTTGTGCACCACAGTAAACTGACATTTCAGACTGCAGGCGTGTGATGCTACATAAGGCTGAGAATTAACCTGCAGAGCACCGTGGTTTAAAGGGTGCAAGAGGAGAGTGACTGCCACAATTGCCTTCCAAATTGTGGTTATCAGCGGTTAGAGAGGTCAGTGAACACTGTCTGTGCTGGCACGGGTCCCATTCGAGACTTGTGTTGAAACAATTCCGTTTAGCTTTAGACTCCGAGATTCAGCAAATATTGTGGTAGAAAGCTGTGAAGAAAACTACAATACTGCACCAGTGCGTTTGGCATGGCTTACAAGAGGCAAGGGGCAGCTGCAGACCAGCACTGGTTCAGCAAGCTGTTGCTGTGTCAACATTTAACTTACATCCTGTGAAAAGCGACCCCACTCTGGAGTCATGAATTTTCCTGCTCAGCCTCATGTACCATCACATTCTTTCACTCTCCAAAACCCAGCTTCAAAACTGTGGGTCCTAAACCAAAAAGTAAGCACTGGCCTTCCCTTTCCCCTTGCAATCTCACAGAGTCCAGTTACAAAACTAAGAATGTTCAGCAGTTCATACCCTGGAAAAGGTTCTAGAGGAGAAAGGCCATGCTGGAATTTGCTTTTCTTTTGCAGCCTATAAACTGCCCAGCCAACAGTGAGACGATTCCTTCCCAGCGATATGCAGGATGACATTCCTTCAGTCTCGAAGATTCAGGATCCCCAACGGAACCCCTACACCAGCTGCTCCCACACTAGCAGTGCCGGGACAGAAAGGGCGTGACTGTTACCTGGCCACTGTCAGCGCTCACAAAGCACGCCACACGATGGCGGTGTGTACTTGCAAAAGAAGGAAATTCGCCTTTTCTAGCTCTAAACCACCCAAAATGCAGATCCAAGTTCAAAATGTCACTGCTCTCAAACTGAGTCAGGACAGAAAGATTTCACTGACTTTCCCCTTCCAAGAACAAACCCCTACTTGCACCATACTCAAAACCAACTCCTCTGTGCTAACAAATTTTTTCTCTCATGGAGTCTGGCTACAAACTTGAAAACCATGGGCAAAAGTGTAGCTGACAAAAGTGCCAGCTGAGAAAGCTGTCGCTGGCCAGAACTGCCGGTGCACCCATCGAGCTGCACCCACACACCCTGCTGTCAGCACTTTCCTCCGCAGCTCTGTGCACCATCAGCATCCTTCAGGCTCTCAGAGTCACGAGCCAAACAGAAGGCACAAGCAGATGCACTTGGCTGAGAAAATAAAATGGATTTGGATCTGATAAAACAGCTGGGTATGAATATTAAATATATACATGTATGAAATCGTGGTACATGTGTGTAAGCTGGTGTGTGAAGAGGCAAAGGAGCAGCTTGGTCACTTGCTGCAGTGATTGATAAGCCTAAATTTTATGGTTTCTCTGAGTTTTCACCTTGAGGGCTGTGAACTGCTGCTCCTCTCAGGATGCTATGATCAGTTTCGTGTCCTGGCTTTGCTGAAGGTTTAGCTGTCTCTGTTGGACATTTATTATGTATTTTTAAAAACATTTGGGCTTTGATGTAATGATGTGTATATGGACACTGAGAAGGTGGGGCTGGGGGAAGAAACGCTCAAGGCAGCAAAAGATGAAATGAACTGAGTAGAAACCCCTTGCATTTGGAAATCAGAAGAAATACAGGTCAGGAATGGTCCTCCAAAGAGCTTCAAGCAGGTATGTGGGGAGGGTGAGCAGAACCAGAACTGCTGATTAAAGACCTTTCAGTTGTTTATTCCCCTGATTTGCCCATAGTAATCCAATATTTACAGTTCCCCTCCTGCTTCCAAACCTAAACCACTCCACTTTGCACCATATCAATTTGTAATTGCTGTTCCCTGTTTAGCAGTTAGTTAATGGAAAACTGGAACGACTGTGGAGATACTAAATTCTGTTGTGCCACCAGGATTGCAAAGATCCTGCTGCAAAGATCAGAACACTGAGGTTCTTGCTGCCTCTCACTGCTCTTTGACTGACTGATGGATTTTTACTGGTTTTGATTTAACCTTTTCCTGTTGTATTGTCCCTCCCCATCCCAGAGAGTGCTGGAACAGGGAATGCTGGAGGTTTTAATAAGACTGATTCCACCAGTGTTAATCTCCTTGTCTGGGATAAACACAGAGTGGTAGTTACTAAGTCAGCAGCCTTGGGATGCTTTCCAAAGCAGAGCTGGAAGGAACACTTTCCCTTTGGATATTTGCCCTGAAGCTACCCCAAGACTGGGTTTAGGAACAAAAATGAGGCAAGGGCACAAAGGCCACCTGACAGCAATGAGGATTTCAATACATGGAGGGTCACTGCCATCCAGGGCCATCTGAAACCCAAAGGTTTATTGCATGTGTGTAGCTGAATGGAGGGCAGGGGGTGTTTGGGATGAAAACAGAAAAGGCTCAACTGAGGCATTAGTTGTCCTGCTCTGTTTCCTGTGGGACGCTCTTGTCACAAGGAAGGCTGTCCTAAGGGGCAGGAGAGATGCTGAAGCAGGTTAAAAAAAAAACAAGTCCTAAAAACAAGGATTCAAATGAAAGTTAAAAGCTTGCAAGTTTTTTAAAATAAATACAGTATTTGCTTTAAAATATTGAATAAAAATTAAGAATAACAACATAACATTAAGGTGGTTATCTGGTGCTAGGATATTGGGGGATGGGGGAGGAAGAGGATGTGAACACAGACAATAAAAGTTGATGAGAAGATGTGGATGTTACCAGCAAAACCCAGAGGGAACAGCAGCCCCAGCAATGCCTGGGGGCAAATGGGATGTCTGGCTTTTGGGACCAAGTGTTCAGGAATCCTCATGACCAGTCTGACAGGTGACTTGAAGATCTGAATTTGAAGGAAAGGAGAAGGAATTGGTAATTGTGAGGTTTTGGCTGCCAGGTCTGTTTTTTCCATGGCAGAAGGGTGCTTCACTTCACTCCTTGAATTCTCCTCTCATTAAGCTGCTGTCTAATCCTCAGCAGTGGAGAAAGAGGAGAATACAGAGCTTAAACTTATCATCACCCCAGCCAGTTTTTGGTCAGTGGGGTTCCCAAAGCTGGGTGTGCTTCTCAGCTTTCCGATCAAAAGCTTGTTTAAAAACTTATTTACCTGACAAGCTGTTTAACGTATTTATGTGAAAAAACATAATATTTTAAGGCCAATGGGAATTCTGTCCCAAAGCTACAGGAAAACAGGTTTTTCAAAAAAAAAAAAAAAAAAAAAAAAAGAGCACTTCAGGTGTACTAAGGAAGGACAGAACTTCAGGCTGTCACAGAGTGTGAGATATGGTGCAATGTGGGAAATTCTCCTGAATTTTACCAAGGAGTTCATCTTCAAAGCAAGTGCCACCTAATTTGAGATGGTTCAGGCGAGGCAGCACTTGCAACAAAGCGATAACAGTACCAAGGGAGACCAAATCATAGAGGTCGAGGCACAGGGTCTCCAGGTGCTCCAGTGTCACAATAGCAACCAGCCCCCTGTTTGTCAGGAAGTAGGCATTGCTGATTTCCAGGTAGCGGAGCCGCTTCATGTGGCGCCCGATGAATACCATGGCAGCATCGCCGATGATGCAGTGCCGTAGAATCAGGCGTTCAAGCGCTTCCAGGTGTGGAGCTGCTGCTTGGATCCCCATATCAGTGACGCGGTAAGTGCCACAAAGGCTCAGCGTCTTCAAGTGGTTCTGTGAGGAAATGTCAAGAAGATGATGGTCAGAAAAGGTGGGAATGCTGTGGATAGCGAGGTGTTGTACCTGTGGTGGCGGCACCGAAGGGGAGACGCAGAACCAGGCATCGGGGATGTCGCAGAGGCTCAGCTCCAGCGTGGTGACAGAGGCGGGCATGCTCTCGTACGGGACATGGCGGAGGTCAGTCTCGGTCAGGCACAGCCGATGGAGCTGGGGGCAGCGCTTCCGAAGGGCAGCCAGCAGTGCCGGCGAGAGGAGCCGCTGCTTGCCGCCGGAGCGGGGCACGCCGCGCATCCGCAGGGTGCACAGGCTGTCCGGGAGGCGGTGGCGCACCAGGTGCCACAGCGTGCGGCGGGTGATCTGCGGGTGAAAGGGCCGGCTTCCAGGGACGCCGCGGGGCAGGGCAGCCCTGGCGCCGTGGGCCGGTTCCCCCCCGTTCCCTCAGCGTCTGCCTGCAGCGGGGTGATCTGCCCCCCCAGTCAGTCTCTGTGCACACTGGGGTGATCTCGCCTCCCCCATCCCTCCTGCCCACAGCGGAACTCTCTCCGCCCCCGGCCCGCGGTGCGGACGGGCGGCCCGTACCCGGTGAGGGCTCAAATCCACATGTGTCCAGACCGCTCGGTCCTGCGCCAGCCGCTGCCACCGCCGGCACACCCTGCGGGGAGGCGATCGGCCGTCAGCGCCGGGGCGGGGAAGCGGCAGGGGGCCGGTCCCGCCCGGGGAGACCCTACCTGGCCGCTCGCAGCCGGTCCCGCAGCGGCAGCAGCGCCAAGACCTGCACCAGCACCGAGTCGGGCAGGGGCGGCCGCGCCGCCATCGCGGCCGTTACTACAACAACCGCGAGCGCGGCCCTGGCGACGCCTCAGCTCCGGCACCGCCAGGCGCGGCCTCGGAGGTACCCGTAGGCCCCGGTAGCTCCGCCGGGCTCGGCACCTCCCTGTTTAACCCCTTTCCTTACCGACAGCCCCCTCACGGTGCCTCCGCGTTGAGCCCCGGTGTCTCGTCCAGTGCCGCCCGTGTCCCTGCTCGGTGCCTCTTGTCCTGTCATTCCCCCCACCCCCGGCCTCTTGCCTGGCACTGCCCCTCTCGGTGTCTCTTGGAGAAGAAGTGGCTTAGCACTGACCATTCCTGGCCCAGTCACTCTCCCTGACGTGCTGTTTCTAACACCCTGCTAATGTTCACATGGCACCGGCTCACATCATTTCCTCTCTGGATGCCCAGCAGGCCATTACAGAGCGGGAACAGCTGTCATAGCTCTCAGAGAAGAGCCTGGAATATCTGCAGTGTGTAGTTGCAACCCAGGAAGAAGAGACTACAAAGTAATAAATTCAACTCTGACCTCAGGGAGATGCTTGAGCAGGTAAAATATGCTGTCCCTACCTCTGCAAAGCTTGGTTGTCCTGTAGAACACGACACATTTCACCAGACAGCACTTTGGAGTTGTCTGCTTGTCGTCTGCTGTGGACACACACTGTTGTGTTGTATTTTCTCTTTATTCTGACACCCCTTCATGGCCTTCACAAGTGCACTTCACACTGATGCCACCTCCTTGCCCCAGTGCCCCCAGAAACACACTTGTCTCTCTTTTGTAGCCCACGCCGAGTGCTTTTTGCCCACAGCTAATGGTCTTTGGGCAGAGATCTCCTTGTCCTGATGTCCAGAAGTCATTTTGCTCCATTTGGTGGCAGGTTTCTGTGATCTTTTCTCACATCCATTGTGTAGGTGGAACAGGAAGGGAGAAGCCTGAGGAGACTTCTCTGAAAGTCTGACCAGCAAACGAGCTGCTTCCGTACGGGTGCAAACAGGATCTTCCCTGGTGGGAGGAGGCTCTGGCCATGCAGTCGTGGTGGCAGTAGCAGCAATTGCCAGACTTGTCCCTGTACTTTCATGGCTTTGGTAACACCCTGGTCTCCCTGGGGAGGTGAATCTTCACAGGCATCAGGGCAGAATACATGGAAGATTTATGTCAGTCAAGTACAGGATGCTGAGCTCTGGGAAGCGAGCCAAGACTGCTGCTGAAGCCACCAAGGCTGCTGAAGACTGCTGAAGGCTGTTTTCACCAGGAAGCCTTGGAGTCTGAACTTCAGTTGTGACTGAAAGCAAACTGAACTCCTCTCCCTTGGGACTCGTGGCTGCCTGTGCTGTGGATCTACTTCTGCAGTTCAGCAGTGTGTTGGTTTTGCACAGCCTGGGTTTTGGTATGGAGATGGACGTGCTGCTGGCCAAGGCTGGGCCAATTACAGAGGTTGGTAACACCTCTGTGGTAACAGATTTAAGAAGAAAATCAAAACAAAGGGGGATGCACTGTTAATTCTAGCTAGAGAAGAGGAGGAGGTGAGAACATGTTGGGGAGACAATGTGGGGACATCAGGGTCAGTGGGGAAGGAGGGGCAGGAGATGCTCCAGGGGCCAGAGCCGAGATTCCTCTGCAGCCATGGTGAGAGCCTGGTGAGACAGCTGTGCCCCTGCAGCCCCTGGGGATCCACGGGGGATGCAGAGATCCACCCACAGCCTGTGGGACCCACGGGGGATGCAGAGATCCACCCACAGCCCCAGGCTGGAAATAAATCCCCACAGACTGATGTCTATAGGGCAGGTGTTTGTTTATTTATTTATTTTTCATTAGTACTACACTTATCTATTTCTAAAGCTATCCCCCTGGTGAGGTTTTTTTCTTTTTTTTTTTTTTTTTTTTTCTGGTCTATTCAGCATTAAGCTACTAGTTAACCATATACCAGCCATTACATTGTATAAAAAGTTATTTATGTCAGGTTATTAGGTATAAAAGTTATAATTCAGGCTATATAAGTGTAAAAAGCTATGATTCAGGTTATGTAGCTATCAGGTTATTTAAATATATAAAAAGTCATTATTTAGGTTATATTGATATCAGGTTATGTAGATATATCAGGTTCTATTGATATCCTATAACAAGTTATATAAGCACTTTGTAAATTTGGTCTAAGTTATATAGCCTATATAACTAATAATAGTTATATAGTCTATATTTCCTTAGAACTGAGGGTCAGGATTTACAGCTCTGCCAAATTTTCTGCCCTTCGAAGGTTTTATACTCACATTTTCAATAGCAGAATGATTGCTGTGTCTTATTAATCCTGCCATCTAAGTCCTTCTCCAGGGAGAAATAGGGAGGTGGCAGCATTAAGCACCCAACAGCCCATTTCTGCAGCTTTTTGGCTGGGCACTGCAGGAGAAATGTAGCAGCAATGCCCTTCTTCTGCCTGATCTTCATGGGACTTTTGAGCTCCTGCTTCATGTACAGCCTTTGGCAAAGAATGGGGCCCACCCAGCAGGGCTGGGTCTGCAGCCAGTGCCCTGGTATGGGGTGTGGGGTCATTCCTTCTCTTCCTGGGGTGTTTACTGACTGATTCCTCCTGGCCTCCTTTACTGCTCCATGGGCTTTCCAGCTGTGAGAGAAATCTGCTCCCTGAGCACCCTTAGTAACAGAAGTAGAAAGCTTTTCCCAGTCCCTCTTACTTTATTCTCTTAACTAAGCATGGCTCTGTGATTTCAGCAGCAGTGCTTCTGCAAGGACACAGTCCTTGGGGAGGCTCCCAGATTTCGTCAGTCTCCCACTGGCTGCTCCACAGGATCAGTTAGACATGAAACCCTCAACCCCTCATTCCCTATATTTCCACTGCTTTTGAGATATCAAAGATATGAAATATAAAAATAAAGTTTAGAAACCAAACCAAGAAAATGAGTCCCAGTTCTCTATAGAATGGCTGAGTCACTGGAAGATGCTGCAGCCTCAGTCATTAGTGCAGGACTGGGGGAATGGGAGCTATGGGACAGGGAAGGATACAGCAGTGGGAACTTGGGCAGAGGGTGGATAAGGCTGAAGAACTGGTGGAGAGGGAACAATGTGGATGTTGAAAATGGAGGAGAGAGGCCATCCTTGGTTGTGTCCGCACTGCTTTGCTCATCCTTCTGGCTATGCAGCTGGGAAAGGGAAAGGGAAGGGGAAAGGGAAGGGGAAAGGGAAGGAGAAAGGCAAAGGGAAAGGGAAAGGGAAAGGGAAAGGGAAAGGGAAAGGGAAAGGGAAAGGGAAAGGGGAGTCCCCCAAGACTCTCTGAGTAGATCCTGAAGGGACCAGTGCCTGCTTTCCTAAGGAACAGAATGAGAAAAGAGGCAGAGATGGAGGTTTAGGGCAGAACCTCCTCTCATACTCTTGCACACCCTTCTACTGTGGAGAGCTGAAATCCTGGAAGATGCTCTCCAGGCTGGGGGAGACAGCCCTGGCACAAGCCTCTGCCAAAGTGCTTTCAGCAAATTCTCCCCTCCTACAGCAAAGCATAACCTGTGCTCATGCTGTGGCTCTGTTGCTGGGCAGCATAAGGTTATCCTCCCCATGAGAGCTGGGTGTCAGCCTTCACTGGAGCCAGGGAAGCTTGAGAGGCTGACTCTGTAATGGATCCTCGCCAGCTAATCGGTGTTTATAGGCTTAGATCTGCTGCTTCTTAATTTTATTCCAGCCCCTCGATTGAATTTCTCACATGTAAGTGAGCCCCACGAGTCCATCCTAGCCATATATAATGGATGGTGGTGGAGGGAAAGAACACAAATGTGGCTGAATGCCAGTAACCGATGCCCAGGCAGCGGTGCAGCAGAACCCTCTGCTGAACATCCCCCACTGCCAGAACCCGCCCTCAGTGGCCCTGAGCAAGATGTTTCCTTTGTCCCCAGCACCTGGCCTGGGGCCGTGACCAGCCTCGGCCATTCTCCATTGGCCCCAAGAGGAGGACAAGGCTTGGAGCCAAGTCACCAAGCCACTATCTCCAGGAACGGCGCCAGTTCAACCCACTGAGCCCTGGTGCTGCCACTCGATGCCCCATCAAATATTAATACAATGCTCAATGCCTCCGTGCCCTGCCCCAGCACTGCAGGGCTGCCCGACCACTCCATCCTCCCCTCCTGCCCCATGTTGCTCACTGCTTCCCACACAGGGACTTTGGGGGTGCAGCCACACCACCCCTGGGTGTTCCCTGAGCAGGGCACGACAGGACCCAGCCCCCTTCAGCAGCCAGCTCAGCCCCCCGCAGCAGGTAAGATCCCACTGGAGCTGGGGGAATGGGCACCCCCATCCCCGAGGAATGCCAGCCTGTCACCCCAGGGAGCAGGAGAACGGGCTCGAAGCATGAGATGCCTGGAGAAGGGCTGGCGGCCATGAGGCGGCACCGGGCTCTGTCCTTGGCTGCAGGGGGCTAGCGGGCACAGGGATTCCTCAGCTCCGTCCTGTCCTCTGAAGGAATCAGATCCACCCGTGGCTGACCCCCGAGGAGGGTTCTCCCTAAGGTCCGGGGTGATGTGTCGGGTCACCCCTCAGCTGGGGGGCCCTGGCGGTGTTGGGGCCCACCTCCCCTTGCTGCCCTCCCCCAGGAGGAGGCCCGCGCCTCTGCCCCCAGCAGCCGCCCGGCCCGGCAGGGGATGGAGCCCGGCAGGTCGGTGCCGGCGGAGCTGAAGCTCCTCCGCAAGCCCTCGCAGCGGGCCAGGATCCCGGCGCCCTTCCTCGCGCACCCGGTAGGTCGCTGGCTCGGCCCGCGGCCCCCGGCTCGTCCCCTCGGCGGCCGTACCCCTTCGAGCCCCCATGACTCTGTCCGCACAGGACGGGGAGCCTGGGCCGGCGGGGCCCCCCAGGCCGGACCCCGCGGAGGTAGACGCGGAATCCCTGGTGCCCACGCACGATGAGCGGGGCCGGCTCATCCCCGAGTGGAAGCGGCAAGTGATGGTGCGGCGGCTGCGGGCCCGACTGGCGGACGAGGACCCGGCGGGAGGGCAGGTACGAGGGGCACGGGGAGTAGAGGGGGCGCGGGCTGTCGCAAGTCGCTGACCGCCTCTCTCCGCAGGATGCAGGCTCCTGGAGCTTCTCGCCCTCCCACCAAGCCGTGCTGGGCCCGTTCGGGGAGCTGCTGACCGAGGCAGACCTGCATCAGCTGGAGACGGCAGTGGAGAGCCTGCGGCTGCGGCGGCGTGGCGAGGTGTACCAGGGCGAGCTGCGGCGCCTGGTGCGGGAGCTACGCGCTCTCTTGCCCGCCCCCCTGCTCAGCATCTCCGTCCGCAGCCCCCCGCCTGCTCCGGGGCTGCCCCTGCCCCTCTGGTGCGGCCGCCTGGCCGGCGCCGTCAATAGCCTGGCCGCGCTGCTGGGCAACGCCGAGGGGGTGCAGGGTCCCCGCGCTGCCGGGGCCGCGCCCGCCGCTCCCTGCGCTCTCCCCGCCGTTCCCTGCGCTCTCCCCGCCGCTCCCTGCGCTCTCCCCGCCGCCGGCGGGCATCCCCGGGAGCCAGGGGGCAGCCTGGCGCAGCGGGAGATCCGGCAGTGCGGAGTTTGTGTCCGCAGCCTGCGCGGTGCCTTCGAGCCCGCCTGGGGGGCCGCGGGGAGCGCGCCGGCCGGGGGCGGCGAGGCCGAGGCCGCCAGCGACTCAGGCATCAGCTGCGAGGAGGCGTTTTCCGACGGCGGCTCCCCGCGGCAGGGCAAGGGGCCGGGGCCAGAGTGGGGCAGCTTGAGGAAGGAACGCATCGTGATGCTCTTCCTGAGCCACTGGAGACGCTCCGCGTACGCGCCCTTACGGCCCGCAGCCGGGGACCCTCGGGAGACAGCGGGGAGCGGGGCCCGGGCCGCGGCCCGCCTGGCCCGGCAGAGAGCGGCCATCCAGAAGCTCCTGAGCGGCTGGCGGGACGCCGCCTCCCGCCGCCCGCCGCCGCCGCCCCCCGCCCGCACCCTGCTCTCCCCGGAGCAGTTCGTGTCGGCGGCGGGGGGCGGCCCGGCCGAGTACGAGAGCCTGTCGCTGGAGCTATTCATGCTGGGCTATTTCCGCATCTTGGAGCAGGACCTGTCCCCCGAGGAGCGCCGAGGCCGCCACCTGCTCTGTTTCGAGGTGTTTGAGCAGCTGGGCCGGCACGGCTGGCGGGCAGTGCGGGCTTTCCACCGCGCCGTCATCGACGAGATCGCGGCCGGGCGGCGCGGCTGGCGCGACGGCTTCGACGACATCAAGGCACGGTACTTCGGGACTCCGCACAGCCCGGCCCAGCGGCCGGGACAGGCCGGGGAGGAGGGGGACGAGATTTGTCGCTACATCGATCGCAGCTTCGCCTTTTGGAAGGAGAAGGAGGCCGAGATCTTCAGCCTGGAGGAGTGATGCCGAGGGGCTCCGGAGGCCGCGGGCTGCAATAAAAACCTTCTCCGTTCTGTCCCAGCTGAGCGAGGCTTTCCGGGGCCGTGAAGAGAGCTGCTAAGCTGGGCGGGCCGCCTCAGCAGCCCAGCTCCCCTCTCCCCGGGCGGGTGTTTCAGGCCTCGGTTGCCGCCGCGTGTTTGCGGCTGAGATAAAGACCTATATTTATAGCGGCACCGGCAGTGCGGGCCGGAGGAGCGAGAGGGGCATGGCGGGGACCCCCTGCTGCCGATGGGGTGCAGGGAGGGTGCTGTGGGAGCTCGTCCCTCCAGGCTCGGTGCCCAGCCGACCCCTTCGCGAGGGGGAGGCTTTCCTAAAGGCAACGACCGAGGATGGGCGGCGGCGAGAGCTCTGCCCGTGCGGTGCCTTTAAGAGCAGGGAGCAGTGTCCAGGTGCCGCCTAAAAATAGCGGGTGCCCCTCGTCCCGGCTGATCCCGTGTCATGTGGCGTGTCCCTGCCCAGCGCGGGGACCGCGGTCCCTTCCCTCCCGGGGAGCACTGCTGAGAGCAGGAGCGACCGCGCCGAGAGGGCTCAAATCACTCCGAGAATCATCCCCAAAAAGCCGGTCGCCGCCCCGGCAGGGCAGCTGCGGCGTGGTGAGGAGAAAACGCGGCCAGCTGTGGGAGGGGGGTGTGGGCAGCGCTTGTGCAGCCGCCGCTGTCCGTGACTCGGGCACTGGGAAGGCGGGAGGATGTCGCGGCAGGGAGAGAGGGAGACAGCGTCGCCTTTTCCTAGCAGGGACACTCTCGCCTCCCGCTGCTCGGGCACTGCCCGCCTGCCAGGCCCCACGGCCATCGCCGGCACCATGGTGAGGAACATGGACGACTTCGACTTCTGCCTGCCTTCGCACGCCCAGGGCGTGCTGGAGGGGCTGCAGCAGTTCCGCACCAACCCCAAACTGGCCGACGTGACGCTGGTGGCGGGCGGGCGGGAGTTTCCCTGCCACCGAGGCATCCTGGCCCTCTGCAGCCACTACTTCTACGCCATGTTCTCCGGTGACTTTGCTGAGAGCATCGCAGCGCGGGTGGAGCTGAAGGAAGTAGACCCCAGTGCGCTGGAGATGCTGCTCGATTTTGCCTACACGGGAAAGGTCACCATCAACCAGGGCAACGTGGAGGGGCTGATGAGGACCTCCAGCCAGCTCCACTTCCCTGCCATCCAGAAGGTCTGCAGCCGCTACCTCCGGCAGCAGATGGATGCCACCAACTGCCTAGGTATCTGTGAGTTTGGTGAGAGCCACGGCTGCCCTGAGGTCTCCTCCAAGGCCTGGTCTTTCTTGCAGGAGAACTTTGAAGCCGTCTCTCTTCAGGAGGAGTTCCTGCAGCTCTCCAAGGAGAGGCTGGCTGTCTACCTCTCCAATGACCAGCTGCAGGTGCAGGAGGAGCGGAGCCTGGTTGAGGCTGTACTGCGCTGGGTACGCCACGACCCGGGATCCCGAGCCCAGTTCCTGCCGGAGCTGCTGGAGCTGACCCACCTTGTCTCGCTGCCTGACCAGTACCTGCAGAACCTCCTTGCCACGGAGCCTCTCGTTCGTGACTCAGATGCCAGCAAGGCCCTCGTCGCCCGATCCCGCACCATGGTGGGTACCCCCTTCCCCTAAATGCCACTTCCTGAGCCAGGAAGGAGGAGCCTGATGGTTCTGTCCTGGCCTCTTCATCAGGGGCAGAGTGGCACCGGTGCCCTGGAGAATCCCCCCACCCCACCACAGAAGCTGGAGGAGGTGCTGGTGGTGGTTGGTGGCCGTGTGCTGGAGGATGGTGAGGATGAGGAGAGGGGGCTGGAAATGCCAGCTGCCACCAGGAACTTTGCCTTCTACAACCCCAAAAGCAGTAAGTGCCCCCCACTTCCTCCAGCTCCCTCCGTCATAATTAACCATCTGTCTACCCCGAAGACACCTCTTGCCAAACTAGTGTCAGTTTAGAGAGACACTGGTTGGGCTGGGATGGGCTTGAAACAGGGGTGGCTTAAAAGGTGCCATCGCTGGCTGTGGGGTTCATTGCTTGGCTCTGCTGGGTTTCAGGGCGATGGATGGCTCTGCCCGACTTCCCTGATTACAACAAATGGGGCTTTTCCCTGGTGGCTCTGAACAACGATGTGTACGTCACAGGTCAGTGCCAGGGCTGCTGGTGCAGGGTGGTGGCTTCAAGGAGCAGGGATGGAGGACAGGGGACAATGACATGAGCATGAGGCACTGGTGTGGGGCCAGAGGCTCCTCTCTGAGCAAAATCCTCTCCTTACTCTCTGCTTGGGCAAATCTGGCCACGGGCAAGGAATACCCAGGGACAGCTGCACTTGGAGAGGGTGGCCCAGCTGACCTGTCTCTCTCTAGGTGGCTCCCGGGGGTCCCAGAATGACACGTGGTCAACGACGCAGGCCTGGTGCTTCTGCCCCAGGGACGGGGTCTGGCAGCCCATCGCTTCCATGCTGAGAGCCCGGACAAACCACACCAGCGCCGTCCTCAACGGTGAGATCTACGTCATCGGGGGTAAGGCTGCAAAGGGCCTGGGGGTGCTGCTGGGCTGGGGGTCCGTGGGTGCCCCAGAGCAGCAGGGTGGCTGCAGTGTCCTGTCACCCCGCAGGGACAACAGTGGACGTGGTGGAGGTGGAGCGCTACGACCCGTACAACAAGAGCTGGTGTGCCATCAGCCCGGCCCTCAAGTACGTGAGCAATTTTGCAGCTGCCAGCTGCTTGGGCAAACTCTACCTGGTGGGCTCCTGCGCCGTCAAGTACAACGCGCTCACTCTGCAGTGCTACAACCCCGTTCAAGGTGAGAGCTGACCCTGCTGCCACACCCCACCAGTGCTGTCCCTGGGAGAGGGGCTGAGGGGGACCCCCAGGCAGGTGACAGCCCTGGACTGCCAGGCATGGTCCTGTGGGATGTGAGCAGGTGCTGACAGGGTGTGGTGATGGCTGTGGTCCAGGAGCACCAGGCTGTTAGCAGCACAGACCCGAGTCACTGATGTCTGACACAGCCCAGAGCTGAGCTTTGGTGGAGTGGAATCTCTGGGGCAGTGGGATGGGGAGGCTGCCTGCCTTAGGGAGAAACTAACCCCCTGTGACAATGCCACCTTCTCAAGTAGACTCTTTCCCATCCCACAGCACCACTACAAACCACATCCCCACCCCCCACTATTTTTTATGCAAGATCCTTGACTGGGATGGGGACTGTGGTGCCCGTCTGCCTGGCTGGTCTGCCTCCTCCCTTCCAAATTCCCCCTGAAATAGCAATGCTTTTTTCAGCGACTGGCAGCTGCATGGAGAGCCAGGGGTGGGGTGCACTGCTAATGGCTGCTCCTTGCAGATCTGTGGAGTGTGATCACTTCTCCCTTCATCCCCAAGTACCTCTCAGCCCCACGCTGTGCCACTCTGCGCGGGCTCATCTACCTCATTGGGGATAACACCAAGAAGGTCCACGTGTACAACCCAGAGGCCAACATCTGGCAGAAGGTGGGATGTGGGACCAGGCATGATCAGCCTCCCAGGGATATGGGGATGGTGTTCCCAGCTGCTTCCCCTCAGTGCCAGCACCCCCCTCTCCCTCCTACCCGCTCATCCCTTGGTTCTGTTAACTCCTGCAGAGCTGAGGATGCCCCATTCCCTCCTCCCCTGCTCCCCATCACACACGCATGAGGCACCAGAGGCCCCCAAACCCCACAGAAAGGAAAGACGGGGTAGGGAGACACATCTGGTGGGTCATTGCCCTCTGTGGTGGGAGTAGGAGGTCACCAAGGAGTCCCTGCACATCTCACCCTGTCCCCCACACAGGTGCAGCTCCTACACACACTGCATGAGAACGGTGGGATGGTGGCACTGGGTGACCGGCTCTTTGTCACCGGTGGCCACTGGAAGGGCATGGACGGGGACTACCGAGTAGAAATGGAGGTGTATGACTGCACCAAGGACCTCTGGATGCGCGAGGGCTCCCTGCCCTGTCTCTGGCTCTTCCACAGCTCCTCCTCCATCTTCATGGACACCTCCAAATGGACAGAACCTTTCCAGGGTGACCATGGGTGGTAGGAGAGCCTCAGTGATGCCTGTCACCCTATGCAGCCATGGTCCCCTTTTTTCTGCTGCCTGTTCAGAGTGGTGAGTGGGAAGAGGAAAGCCCTGTGCCAGGCTGGCTGGGGCATCAGGAGCATGTTCTCCCGAACCACTGCAGGGAAAAGGCTTTTCCTTATAAACACGCTTTGGTTAATGCTCTCTTCTTTTCATTTGTGGGTTTGTGGTTTTTTTAGAACTGCATCCCCCCCCCCCACCAAAACCCTAAAGATGTTAGGGTATTTCAAGTCCTCCCAAAGTGTGGTTCATCCCACCAAAGCCTGACATTGCTGCTTGGGGGCAGCAGCCTGGTTTCTCTCCTGGGACACGCAGCACACACCCCAGGGAAGTGATCCATGGCCATGGTGAAGCAGCTGGCACCTGGCTGAGCCCCTGCCGGTGCGCTGACTCCCGCCCCAGCCCCGTCTCTGGCGGTGCCGGTGGCAGAGGGATGGGCGAGCACAAGATGAGGCTTCCCCGCCGGCTGGGCCCACAGCCAGCACCGCTGGACGGCTCAGCTGTTTCCCCTCCGCTTGTTCGGTGTTCTCGAAGCGTTTCAAACGCGCGGCGCAGAGGAGCCCGCGGGGCGGGGCGGGCACGTCCCGCTGCAGGCTCCCCGCGCGGCTCCGCTCGGCCCACGGGAGCTTTCCCCGGCGGGGCGGTGCCCGAGGGCAGAGGCCGGGGCCGCCCTCCCGTAGCGGCGGCGGGATGCGGCTGCCGGAGCTGTGCCTGGCGCTTCTCTACGCCGCCGGCAGCGGCAGCGGCACCGAACCGCCGCGGGCAGCCCGGGAGCGGCCGCTGGCCCCGGGACGTGAGGAGCCCGGGGCGGCCCGCGTGGATCCCCGGCAGGCGTGGATGCTGCTGGCCGGGAGCCCCGGGAGGGGCAGCGGCGATCGGGGCCGCGGCGGCTCCGGGGCTCACTCGGCACCAGCGGGCCCCGGCTCGCCGGGAAGAACAAGCGCGGGTGCGCCGAGCGGGAGCGGGGCCGGGCCCGAGGAGCTGCTGAGGGAGCTGCAGCTCCTGCTCAGAGGTACCGGGGTGGGGACAGCACGACAAGGCGAAGCAGGGCTGGGCAGCAGAGCCAGGAAAAGTGATGGCTCCCTTCCTAACGTCAAACTCCGGGGGGGTTCGGGGTCAGGCACGGCAAAGATGTGCAGGACAGCTGGGGAAGGGCGTAAGGAGGAGGAAAGCAGCAAAGGCAGCCCCCAGGCCGGGGCCCAGCGTCGTGTGGAAGCAGCCTTCCATTGCCAAACGCGAGAGGACATCGCTGTGGAGCAGAGGACGTGGCAGGAGCTGGGGCTGTTCTACATTGTGAGTGCCCAGCCTGCCCCTTTTCCCCGTCTGCAGGGGCACCTGCCCTGGCACAGGGACTCCTCCTCTAACTCGAGCCGTTCCCTGTGCCAGCCTGAGAGGGAGAGGATGTTCCACCGTGGCCCAGGGCTGAACCTGACCAGCGGGCAGTACACAGCCCCCCTTGCAGGATACTACACCTTCAGCACCACGCTGCACATCGGTGAGCCCTCGCACAGCCCCGCGGCCCTGCCGGGGCAGGCTGGGATGGCCTCACCCCCTGCTCTGTCCCAGCGCGCAGGGACCTGCGGAGAAAGAGGCAGGGATGCCGAGGGAGCCGCCTGCGGGTGCTGATCTGTGTGCAGTCCTGCTGCCAGCACAACAGGTATGGCCAGGGCCGGGGAGGGGGCTAGTAGCCCAGCATCGCTGGGAAAGGAGGGGCCTGCTCCTCCCACTACTGCCCTTGCTCTTCTGCAGCCATCTGGAGAGTGTATCCCGGCTGGAGAGCAGCGGGGACCTTTTCACCATCTCTGTCACAGGCACCCTTTACCTGCAGGTGAGTGGGGCCAGCTCCACTGGGACAGTGCTGGGCAGGAAGGTGTTTTCCATGGCCCGAGCCCAGGGCTGGGCATCAGGTCTGCCTCAGGTGACCTCCAAGCCCCAAAACCAGTCAGGGCAGAGCTCTGCTAGGGCACTATGGCACAGACAAAGGCCTGTGCTGCTCTTTTCCCAGAAGGAAGGGTAGGGGCAGCTCCTCCAGCTCTTGGTTGCTGTGTGCAGGGGAGAGCTCTCTCCTTGGCCCTGCCAGGCCATGCCTGGAGCCCAGGGGAGGTGTCCCGGCCCTGCTAATCCCTCTCTCCCCCAGGCTGGGCAGTATGCCTCTGTTTTTGTGGACAACACGGCAGGCTCTCCCCTCACCGTTCAAAGTGGCTCCGATTTCAGTGCTGTGCTGCTGGGAGTGTGAAGAGGCTGAACCATGCTGAACCTGTGCCGGGAGCAGCCAGACCCTTCCCTCTGCTCAGCACCAAGCCTAAGGAAAACCATTTGCTCATGCAGGAGACTGCAGTCTGGTCCGATACTGCTCGTGCTGCAGAACCGGCTGAAGATGGACAAAAGATCATGAAGATGATGATGATGATAATAATAAAGCAGCCTGAGCAGGACCTAAAGGCATTCACTTTTATCTAAAGGCTAGGCCTAGAAGTTTATCTTGGAAAACACTGCTGACAGTGGCAGCAGATGGCTGCCTAGGGCTCAGCTCCCACCGTGCCCGCTACAAAGCCCCGCATGTCCATTTATTCCCTTAGTGGACTTCCCTTCCCTGCCCAGACTCACTCTCAGCAGCCCAGGCCAGATCATGCATTGCTTTAGCTCCCTCAGAGTGTGAGCAGAGGGTTGGCTGGCAGGAGCCAACATCCTTCACACTGACCATCAAAGCAAAGTCCCAACAACGCCGCACGTTGGATTGAAGCAAATTCCTGCCCTGTGACTCTCCAGAGCAGGCACTCCCTGCCTGTGGCACAGGGCCTGGCTGTGGCAGCCCAGATACAGCCCAGCTCTTTGCTCTGGCTGTGATAGCTGCCTGGGCTCAGCAGGGCCGCAGGCCTACGTGACGGAGCCGGGGCTGCAGCAGAAGCACCGGGAAGGCTGAGCGTTGGATTTCCGAGTAGCACTTGGTGCTGGGTAAGTGGTGCCAGCAACTCTGCAAGATAGCCTGAGCTAACAGCCCCACCTTCTCCCAGGGATGTCCCTGGCCCTGCCTGCCCTTCTCCAAGGGCTGCATCTCCTTGAGGAGCCTGGTGAAGGAGCTGTTAATGCAGTAGTTTAGATAGGGGTGTTTGGGTCTGGAAAAGGGGGGAGGCTGAGAAGGGAAAGAAAGTTACCTTTCTGAAATTTGCCATCAGTGTTTATTTTGCCACAAACAGAAGCAACTCCATGCTACTCTGTCTGGGCTCTCCAAATTTGCCTTTCGAGAGTAGAAACAGGAGAGTGTGCTGCTAACAAGGCATTCCCTGTCAGCTCATCCTGCACTGCAGCCTTACATCAAAATACACAGGAATGGCTGGGGGCAGAACAAGCTGGCAGAGGACCAGCACTACCCAAAATCTGTGCCAGAGGGCCACTTCCTTCCTCAGTGCTCTGCAGGACATGCAGAGAGTCAGTGTGCACCCCCAGACTAAACCCATGAAGTGTAACTCACTACTGCTGGAGCAGAAATAGAAGGTGGTCAAGCCACCTGTCCCAAACAGGACAGCCATCATGTGCTCCAGCAAACAACCCAGGAGCTGGGACCAAGTCCCAAAGTTCCAGGGATACAGAAAACAGAAAGGAGGCAGGGAAGCCTCACTGCCCTGCACAAAACAGCAGGCACCACCCTGCCCTTGCCCCCCTCCCATGGGACTACAGCTGTGCCTCATCAGAGCAAGGAGGCAACCACAATGCACACCCCTCAACCCACCTCCCTCCCTGCCCCCTCACACACAGGGTGGGAAATCAAAACTTCAGGGCTTAGGTAGCTGAATCCATTTAGCTTTCACTCTTGTCATTTGGTCTTAGGCCAGATTTTCTCTGGAAAACAGCACACTGACTGCAGCAACAGCTGGTAGAGGCACTGAGACAGGATGAGACACCAGACACTAATTAGTACCTAAAACCTGAGATGCCTTCTCCTCAGATAGCACAGAGCCTGCCTGCAGCTCAGCTGCCCTTTCACCAAGTCCATTTGGTAAAAACACTTTTTCCAAAAAACATCAGGAGCAAACTCCAGCCACTTTTTCCATATCAGCATTGTGGTAAAACTACAACACGTTCTGCAAGGACAGGGCAGGTATGCTGCTGCTCTGCAAGGGGTGTTTGTGTCCCTCAGCTGCAGGCAAGCTCACAGCCCAGCTTCAGAGTCAGATTTCCCACCCAGTGTGAAGAGGACAGCCCACACCACATCCCAAGCTGGTGGCCTGGAGCACCTCACAGTCTGGCACAGCCTGTCAGAGTCCTGGAACTCCAGACTCTCCCAGGGTCTTGCACACAGCTCAAGGATGTGGACAGCAAACTGTCCCATCAAACAGCTGGCAGAGCTCATGCCCCCAGACACCTCCTGCTAGCACCCCTGCCAAATGAATTCACCGCCTTCGCCAAGACATTCAACCCTAGCACTAAGTGAGCTAAGCCTGTTAGAAAAAAACCATCTTTATTTACACTGCAGAGCATCCAGCAGGAGCCACCCTCCCCCAGGCACACACGCATGCACAGAGCCCAGCCCAGCCCGTCCCTCAGTGCTCTATCCGGACCAGCATGACGGTGACGTTGTCGGCCGAGCCGCGCTGCACGGCCTTGCTGGCCAGCCTGTTACACGCGGCCTCGTAGCGCGCGTCTGCCTCCAGCTTCCCTTCTCTCATCTGGATGTTCTTGTCCTGTTGGGACACAGCAATTTCACTGCTCCCACCAAAGGTAGGATTGTGTTTTCCAAACACTGGGAAGCAAAATAAATGCACACGACCCAGGGAATAACAGAGGACACTGTGGCAGAAGTCCATTTCGTGCCCTCTGCACTGACAAACCCAGCCCCCAGGCCACCTCTCCTCACCTCCAGGCAGGACACAATGAAGTTCACAGCTTCTTCTGGTGTAAAGACTTTAAAGAGGCCATCGCACGCTATCAGAATGAACCTGGAAATCAAGTGGAGACAGACCCCAAGGCTGAATTTTTGGCTCCTCAGCTACAACAAAATCACTCCAATCTATTTTATGAACATCCATGCTTGGATCCAAAGGGAAGATGCTGTAAAAGCTCATCTGAAAATCCCTTGGGACCTACCGTTCATGGCAATTCAAAATACGGGACAAAGAGCCAGGCAACCAATGTAAGACCTTGATCAGGACATCCTGGCTGTGCTACAACACTAGCAAGATCATATATGATCCTGGTCAAATATTCCATTGTTTCTCTAAGAACTGCTTCTTTCCTTTGAGTCCTTTTGATTCATGTATTTTTCCTCTGAAGCAGCTAATGCAAGGAAATAGAGAAACAAGGCTGAACCCCTCATGTACATCACTTTACATTTCTACACTCCCGAGGTATGTTGTAATTTAAATATGCAAATTCAAAAGCAAATCACATGACAACAGTGAGCAGAAAACTCTGACACTAAATATTGCCACAGGCTGCAGAAGGCTGAGGAGATGCAAAGCTCAAGGCAAGGGCAGCACCCCCCTTAGGATGGGGAGACAGCCTGCTGTGCACTCCTGCCTGCACAGGGAATTTAATTAACCAGGAGCCCTAACCAGAGTCAGCAGGACGAGGAAATCTAAAACAAACCTACAGAAGTGGTCAGTCTGCACATGCCTCTGAAGACATCATTTCAGTGCATGATACTCAAGAGTATCTTTAGAAATATTTTAGTGGATCACTTGATATGGAACTCTAATCCCAGAAAAAGCAGCAGTACTGGGTTACACTCACCTCTGAGAGTCTGCAGAGCCATACTGACACAAAAGCTCACTGCAATTTGTCGTTGCCAATCATATCATGGAAAAGTATCTCAAATCTTCAAATATCACAGCTGAATGCAAAAGTATTTATTGGCACCACAGCTGCTAAAAACAACTCCTAGACAGAACGGAGACCTAAGAACTCAAGCCTCAACTCCCTGCCTGAACACTGTTTGTGATTAAGTTTGTGAACTTAATCAGAGCAAACATCTAAGGCTTGTGTATGCTATTGCTATGAGGCTGGTTCCTCCAAGAGGAGCCTTCACAGCATCTTGGCAGAGCAGCAGATTATCCCACTGCTCTCATAAGGAACAGAAGCAGAGAGACAGCAGCAGTAAGAGCATCCATCCTCTAATTCTGGGGGGATCAGTCTGAAGTGCCTTGGCTCTCACAGCAGAGCATGCAGGGTTGTGCAGCTTCTGCTGAGCTGAGCTGGGACAGACAACCCCCCGTGCAAGGGCACACTTTACCTGTCATTGTGTGTGAGTTGGCAGCGTTTGATGTCTGGCACAGAGATCACACCACAGCGCTTGTACTGGCCATCCCCAATGGAGCGGGAAACCTCCAGCACTCCCAGGACTCTCCCGTCCCTGCACAAGGAAAGAAAGCACTCAGAGCCCTCCCCACGTGTATATTTCACTGCACTGCCTGATGGGGACATCGTGCACCCATCTGCTTGTACAAATAATGACCCACTTCCCCAGCAAGTTCAAATATTCCCTTGAAAGTCTCCTTCCCTTTCTGTATGTTTGTGTGAAGCTCTGGGAAACAAGTGAAGGGGAGGAGCAAATGAAGTCAGGAGACTTCAAGGCAGTTTTCTGTCACCCTGCCCTAACTCAAGTCCTGCTTAGCCTAGCAAACTGGGACAGTAAAATTATATGTGAGCTTAACTCCCGGTGGCATAGTTTGAATAGAGATTATTTTTTGGCAAGATATCCAGCAAACTGCTCTTCACTAGAAGCACAGAGTGGCAGAGGCAAGAGGTCTGAATCAGCAGCCTCTCCTGTGTCCTGTGTGAGGACACCAAGCCCTACAGACTGGCCCAGCTGCAGGCAGTTCCCAGAGTGACAAACACAGCATGTTCAGCTCCTGATCACTTGGCCTTTAGTAACCACTGATTGCAGCAAGCAGTTTCTGTGAAACCTACATGACAGCACCCCTTAGGAAACACCTCTGGGCTGTCAAGCTTTTCTAACTAACCAAGCTCCCTAGAGAAACAGCTTCCCACACTTCACCTTTCCAACAATCAAGCATCTTCTCCCCAAAAAGGCTCTTCTGTGCCCTCTGAGAATACACAAAGCTCATTCATCTCGTAGTCCAAGCAGCCCCGCTTGAGATAAAAGCAAGAAGCAAGGCATGTCACAGAGAAGACATCGGACACTCACACACTTTGTGGCTTATCTCTTGGACCCAAAATATTGAACTGCAAGCAATGGGAGAGGCTCCCAGGCAGTCAGGGACCAGTTCTGAAAGGAGCTAACAGACACTGGGCCATCTCTTTGCCATGTGCAAAGAGAGATCAGTGCTGAGTGTAAGTGGCAGCATGTGCTCCCCAGAGATAAAGGGAACAAAGTGCTCCAGACACAGCAGCATAACAGAACTGAGCCCACCCCTCTCCACCCTGG